GACTGTGACCACACAAAAAGGGTCTTCATACCTTCGACATGATTGCCTATTTATCGAAAAGAAAAATAAGTTTACCGAAGAAACATCTCTTTGATTCTAAAATCAAGCAATAGTTTTGACTCATTCGCATTAACTTCCATTTCATACCTTTTTAAGAGAGTGAGGAAGGGCGTAGTTTGCCCATTCCAACAGAGATTGATAGCAGTTTCTTCTCGGCCGACTGAATGATTTTCCTGGGAATTCTTGATCACTTTCAACATAAACGTGCCAAGTATTTATCTGTATTACCGCTTGACAGAGAGCATCAGAGCTGGGATGCAATTTTATGACCAACTCAAGTTTACACCAGGTAAGGCCAACTAGCCTACTGGTCTTTCCCCACACCCAATTAACAGAATGTATAGAAATATTTTAATGTGTCTATGTACCTGTGCAAATTTGTGCAGAAATACGCAGGCCCTTTACTTTGCTGCATATTTTCCCTAATGAGAGGTATCAATGTTATTGTTACTGCTGGACCTAAATTCAGTTGAGTTGATTGACTTTCTGAGCATAGGAACGGGAAGCATGACGTTTATCTATTCATAATTTTTTAATCATGGGATCTCTTTCTGTACATCCATCAGGTCGGCTTCCGTATTGAGCAGAGGAATTAGCTTACATTTACGGGGGCTGGGGGCAGAGCCTTAGTGAGTACTGCCAATTAGAAAGGAGAGATGCTTTTATTAATTTACTTTCAGTTTAAGGGGTTTATGACAAATTCACGCAAGCTCTAGGATGATGGTTTTATGGCGCTCATACAGACTTGCTGAAATCTTTTCAAATTTCATTTTAGCTGAATTGTTGAACAGTTCATTTTTGAATAAATGCCAGACCGTTGAGATCCAGTTTGAGGGCGATTGTTAACCCAAAGAAAGTGCCTTCAGCCGGCTAATGTGCACAAATATACCCTTCTCCCTGTTACAGGTAAGCATACCAGAACAAGCCCCAAGCACTGCTTCATGTGAGGAGAGCGTTCAAGCGCCTGTAGCTAAGCCTGTACTACCAACTTTCCTCGCCAAAGGGGTGGAAACTATGGTTGGATCAGTGGAGAAAACAAGGCTCTACGTGGAAGCTGTGGCCTGCACGAAGGATTCGGCCACTTTCAACTCAGAAACCGATGCTGCCATCAATGCCGGGTCGGACCACAAAAGGGCATGGACACCTGACCCTTGGCCAACGTCAACAGGTGACATTGAAGCGAATTTCACTGCGATGCCGGCAACATCATGTCGGCCTGGTTCAGTCGAGCGGCCAGCTTCGTCGACCGGCCTGGTTGCCAAGTCTACGCAGGGCAGCCGAGAGGCTGAGACAAAGGAGGCGAACGATGCGCCAGACCTCTGTTGTCGTCGCCATCGCTACCATTCGGATGCACACGAAGGCGAGGGCGTCTGTGCGTTGAACAGGTCGCGTCGACAGCGTCAAAGCAGTCCCGTTTCAGGCGATTGCCGGTTAGGGCTTGCGCAAACGGGCCACTCCGGGGGGACTGATGAAGCAATCGGTCTTTCAAAAGTCCAGTCTGGTTGTTATGGCCAGTTGAGTGGAGAAAGGGACGAGTTGAGCCTGCATAAGAGAGAGCGACTCAGAGAAGAATCGACCCCCAGTGCGTCTGTCGCCGGGCGGCAGGCCAGGGTACAAGAGGTCGACGCGACGCGGCAAAGGCATGCGACTGGGGGAGAGTGTGCAAAAAGGGGTGAAGACTGGCGAAGCCCGAGTGAGGCGTGGAAAGTGAAGCCGAAGGATAGGCAGAGGCTGGAGACGTGGAGATGGGATGCGGATGCAGAGCTGTTGCCAGGGCAAAGTGAAGGTGAGACGGCAGTATGTGGACTGCGACGTGATTGGCAGATTAGGGCAGACGATAAGAGCTTGCCAAGTCTGGACTGGCAACGGCAGAGACGAAAGCAACCGCAGGATTGGTCGGGCTTGCAAGGTCGTTTTGAGGCAGCCAATCAGAAGGGGGCAGTTGGAGAAGAGGCGACTCAGAGGTTTGATGTACTCGCGTTTGAAGGTCAGCATCGATCGTGGCGAGACGAGTTGGACGGGTCTTTAGGAAGTCAGCTCAGTACTTCCGAGGTGCGTGATGTGAATCGATCGGTCTCGGAGGTTTCCGACAAACTTGACGGATTCAACGCATCCTGCCGCCTCGAACGACTCGACCCAGTCGCGGGCGCAAGCGAATGGCCGCAAAGAGGCAGACTCGGGCAGCCGGTCTGTCTATTCGACTCTTCTCGCCTCGCCCGCCCGGCGATCATCACCTCCCCGCAACCCGGCGGACGGGATGTGGCCCGGCCTGAAGTGAGCCTCGGTCTCGCGACTTCTGGCCGAAGCCGGCCAGCGCCGCCACAACCGGAGCCGTCGTGGTCGGGCAAGCCGACCGAGCGGTGCTCTCCGATCGATGAGCTGGCCGAGTACCGCTGGAGCGACACAAACCGACAGGCCCTGGGCGCGGCGGACGAGGTGGCTGCGGCGCCGGCGCCGGCGCCGGAGGCGAAGAAGATCTACCGACCTCAGGCTCGCCAGCTCAGCGACTTGACGGCCCACCAGATCGACTGTGAGGCCGTCGGTTGGGCACAGTCGCCTCGGTCAAGTGAACTCGAGACCGGCGAAGCGTCGGGCCGCCGGTTGTCGGAACTCGCGTCGTCTCGTCCGCCTGTCGGTGGCGGCCCGACGCGTCGGGTCGACCTGCCGCGGCGTCTGCGTCGAGCGCAAGACGCGTTGATTCGCTCCGCGTCGGCCATCTTTCAACCGGCCCACGCGTTTCTCGCCCTCTTGGACGACTCGGGCCAAACCGAGCCCGAGCCCGAAGAGTGGGGCTCCCTGTTCTCCCTGGCCTCGCCGCCCTCCGGCCACAGGCACGACGAGGCCGCCTGCCTCCGAGCCGGAGCAGGCGCTGGCGCTGGCGGGCGGCTAGCCGAGATCCGCCAGCTCGAGCGCCGCCTGCAGCGAGTTCGCCAGCTGGAAC